AGATGAGGGGGCTGTATGCCATGTGATGGTAATAGTATGGATTATTCGAATTGGAGGTGTTGACATTGTTGAAGAAGCTTGTGAAGGCATTGAAAGGAAATATCTTTGTTGCAAGAAAGAGGATGTTGAAGCCTTCCTTTTCCTCCTTTTTTCTTTGCTGATTACCAACATAATGTATTGAAATAGGGGACTTTAATGGGAAGCACAGGCTAAGTGAAGAGGCAAGATGGTGAACTGAACTAAAAATAAGAAAAAAGAAGAAAGAGATGTGTGGACCCCTAAAACTTTTGCTCTTTTGTGTACTTTTTGGCTGAAATCATACTTGTATCCATTTCAAGTAACTATATATGATACCCCATTGAAACTAATCGTTGTCCTGAACCTTTTAGCAACTGATCTCCAACTAAGTGATTGATTGTCATATTGAAAGGGATTTGCATTCTGTACTTGTGTCTTTTTATGGATGATCATACATCACCTGTGGCCGAAATCAAGGGAAATCCCTATATCAGGCATTGCATTTTTCACTTATTCCTGCTTTTCACTAATTTTTAGCTTTGAAAGTCCCGGTTTACTTTCATACTAAAATTTGTGGCCTATTTCTTTGTTGCAATGAGATTTAGATAGGTCGGTATAATTCAGAACTGTGTTTTAAAACTTGTTGAGTTGACTTGGGTGTCACTGAAGTCAACTCACCTCAGGACCCTGCTAGTCCTGTGTAAAGAGCAGAGACATGCGAGTCTCACGCTCCTTGACCTGACAAATGCTTTTTCTTGATTAGACCTGGCAGAGTACTACAAGATATTTCCCAGTTGACCCATCTCACTTGGGCTATGGATCCTAGGTAGTCCTGACCAGGGTCTATGTTTTGAAACACTACTTCAGAAAGAAGTATCTTGTATTTGGATTGGACCTGTTCATCATTTCCCCTGTTCTGTATTCCTTGGTTGTCTATTGGATATTTTAAGCAATATCATAGTGCGCATTGGAACTTGAAGGTTCATGATTCCATCCATTGTCACTGAAGTCTTATAGTGCTGCATAACTGGGGCAAACTGTTACCATCACTTTAAAATATTGGGGAGTGGCATTTCATTTCTATGTTGTTGTTGTTGTTGTTTTTATTGTTTTTGTTTATTTTGACACTTGCAGCAAATTGTTCGTGCATTATTCAATACATGGCATTCTTTTAGGAACAAGCCCAGGGCATAGTTGGTCAGCGTGGTGGGGTGCAGCAAAGTGATATTTGTGTTCCATTCCTACTAGGTCCCAAGTTTTTTTTTTAAAGAATATGCATGGTGCTCTACTAATCCCTTGTTCTGATTCTGGTGGATTGAAATATATACGTTTCCTTGCTTTATTTTTATTTGTTCTTTGATTTTGTACTTCTGATCTGACCATGACACTTTGCCCAACATGTCACAGATATGAGGAGGAACCACCAGAACCCGAGCTTGAGGTATGAGCTTAAAACTTTTCCTTTCTTGTTGTGCGCATTTGTTTTGTGGAAGCTACTGCTTCTAGCCGTGGTTCACACAACAATAACACTTCCCTCATTTGTTTCGCGGGAAGTGAGACACTGGCTGCTTCCACACACTTCCAAAACAGTGTTAAATACCTTGTTTTGGGGAAGCTGCGACTTTCATGCTACCCCATGGAAGCTGCGGCTTCCGGAGTTGGTGGAAGTGGCTGCGTTGGCAGCCCCCTCTTCCACCAATCAAATACACTTTTTAACGTTTAATAGGGAAACTCTCAGCTATTTAGTGGCTCTTGTGTAGGAGGGAGCAGAAGAAGAAGTAGAGAATAATGAGGAAGATCCTGATGCTTTTGTGGGCCCTGAACCCGAAACAAAAGAAGATGAGGAGCCACGTACTGATAGGCCTCGGAAGACATCAAAGTACATGACAAAATATGAGCGTGCAAGAATCTTGGGCACACGTGCCCTCCAAATCAGGTCGGTGATTAAATTTGTGGTAAAATTTATTATGCTCATCCACCTCATCTTTAAGAATTTGGAAGAGCATAAAATAAACAGCCTGTGTATTTTTATCTGGCACACATTTTTTAGTATCCATTATCTGTTCTCAATAAAAGAAAGTGGATATGAACTAACCTTGGGGAATATCTGTTGGCAGGAAATATGTTTTATCTCTGCTATCCATCTTTTAGAATGGTTGGTGGATGCATTCCCTTTAGATATTAGCTATAAAAAGGATTAGTTTGTTAGGAGAATGGGTAACAGAATATTTGTAGCCAAAATAGTTCACCCACCATTTAGCAAAGCTGCAAACACAACCACCATCCATGTTCCAAGACTATCCATGTTCCTTGACACTGCTAAATTGATTCATTCTCACATGACCATAAATAAATTGTTGACGTATTTCATTTCTTTGGTAACAACTGAATATATGGAAAATTCATCCTTTTCATGTGTTTCTATACTGATTTCATACCTGTAAGTTACAACTCTGCTGTTATCTTTTTCATTTGGGAAAATTCTCATAATGACCCCATTTTATTTTCAAATTTAAAAATAGTCTCCTATCTTTCATATTTAGACTGAAGTCCTACTTCTTGCTTCTTGAGGGTGCATAATATGATTTAATTTTATTCCTTTCTCTTGGCATTTGATTAAGCTCAAATTTGGAGTGTTTATACTTCTCATCTTCACACACATGAAAAAATATTTAAAAATAATAAATCAGCAAAATACCCCTACAAGATTATGGGATGTTTTGGTAATTATTCTTTTCTATTTTGTATTGGTGTGTAATGTTGAGAAATATGAATGCCCCAAATTTGAGCTTAACCGATGTATAAGAAAATAATTAAAAAATACACCATATGCTCTCAAAAAAAGGGACTTGAGCATATATTGTGTGTTTAAATTCCAAAAATATAATGGGATTTTTCTGTAAATTTTCCTTTTCCTTTTTGTCTGGGATTCTCCCTAGTTCAGTTTGGATCGCCTGAAATTTGTCTTCAAGCATTGATTCTTTTCTAGCAAAACACTCAATGGTTTTTCCATTGTTTTGCAGCATGAATGCTCCTGTTATGGTCGAATTGGAAGGCGAGACAGATCCATTGGAGGTAAGCTCTCTTTAACTATCTCTTTCATTATGTCATTTAAGAGGACAGCACCTTTGACTATTGAGGTGATTATGGAAATGAATATTGTTAGTGCGTATGAAATTACTTGAACAACTCTTGAATGGTAGCGAAACTGCTACTTTTGGATGAGATTGAGAACATGTCTAAAATTTCTGACAAAAGACTAGCAATAAAAAACATTCGTTACAATTTTTGTGATGTAAGATTGCTATGAAGGAGCTTCGGGAGCGGAAAATTCCTTTCACCATCCGCCGCTACCTACCTGATGGAAGGTTCTCTCTCTCTCTCTCTCTGTCTCACATATATCGAACCTTCTGTTATTGTTTTTATTAAGTTCTCGCCTTCCATGTCCCAGTGAGAATCAGTCTCCCTTTGAACTACCCTATTGTTTTCTATTGTTTTTGTCAAGTTACTGGCCTTCTGTCTCACATCTCTCTCTCTCTCACACACGCATACACATATAGACCTACCCTTTTGTTCGTTTTATTATTTTTATCAAGATCTTGTCTTCCATCTCCATTGAGAATAAACACTCTGTTTCATAACATTTGAATCACCTTCCAACTTATGGCAGCTATGAAGATTGGGGGGTGGATGAGCTTATTGTCGAGGACTCGTGGAAACGACAAGTTGGGGGTGATTAGTGGAAAATCCATGGTCAGTTTTTGGTTTGGAACTGTAAAATTCGTGTCGTTGATATCATTTCTGATGCGGTTTGAGACTGAACATGTAGTAGCTGATATAGTTTCAAAAAAACATGTAGTAGCTGATATAGAAACTATCTCGAAGTCATTTAGTAGCTGATATAGAAACTATCTCGAAGTCATGTAGTAGCTGATATAGAAACTATCTCAAAGTGCCCTCTCTAAAACCAGTATCTCTACCTTGTATATAAGATCCATCTTTTGGGAACTATAGCCCACACAATTTGGTGGACCTCAGAAGTGTGGATGTTTGTTGGCTGGTAAGACACTCTCTCTCTGAACTTTGGCAACTGATAAAATACACGCACAGTCTCTGAAGTTTGTTAGCTGATAAAGCTCTCACTCCCTCTCTCTGTTAGCTGATAAAGCTCTCCCCGTGAAGTTTGTAACTGATACAACACAATTTCTGAAGTTTGTTAGCGGATAAATCTGTTTTCACCGTGAGTTTGTTAACTGATATAACTTACACACTGTCTCTGAAGTTTGTTAGCTGATAAAACACACACTCTCTGAAGTTTGTTAGCTGATAAAGCTCTCTCTCACTCTATGTGAAATTATTTGGGTGATAAAGCTCTGTCTCCGAAATTTGTTAGCTGACACACTTTCTCTCTAAGTCTCAACTTGCATAGGGTCTAAGAAAGGAAATAATCAAATTCCTTTTAGACACTCCAACCTTGCAACGCACAAGGTGCTCATAGAAAATAGGAAAGGATAAGGTTTCTGAGTCGGCCGACTCATCTATGTAAATGTGGTCTCTCTCCAAAATCTATTTTAGAGAGATTTTGGATTCAAATTTTGGGGAATGAAAATCTCAACCATGATGGGTACAAATTTGAAAAAAAAAATTAAAAATGAAAATCTATATTTTTGGATATACTTCTAAAAATGTCAATATGAAACTTCGATGGGACAGACCATTTTTCAATATCCATCTTGTAGATGTATGTGTGGCTTGGATTTCAGAGCTAATGGGTCTTCTCTTCTTTCATTTGTATTTTGGGGGAGTCCTCAGTCCTAACATACATGTGGATAAGGGTTAACACGTTGGCTGAGCAGGTTTACTAAATCTTTGGAGTTGTTTTCTACTATCCAAAATATTGCACTTATTTCAAAAAGTGGATCTCAATTTTAGGTAATTTACCGAGGTTAATTTAAAATTATAAGATCCGGTGAGGGATATTATTGAACATTGTAAAAAGTCTATATAACGTTGAGGCCCTAAAGAATCAAAATTGAGGTGCGCATCAAAAACTCATTAGAAGAGGTTCTTTTGATGTTGAAAAACACTCAAATCTATCATCTCAACATCAAGACATGTAGACGTTAAAAAAAAAAATTCAAGTATGGGAAGTAGTGCATATTGTAATGCATTGTATGGGCTGTCAATTTTTTATATTTTCGAAGTGTTTGTAGATAATGTTCAATTTATACCATTTTTTTAAACTTTAAATTTTATAATTACAGATGAAAACAAATATTTAGTCCATCACAAGGATATTTGCCGTTGAAAAATTATCTTTCGTACCATTTAGAGGTACACTGTTTTTTTTTTTTTGACCAATATTTAGAGGTACACCTTCCTCAACCTTATACAAACCCCACCCTATAAGATTGCTCAGAGAGAGCGCTATAGGTTTTGGATATAAAATCCATGTACCATTATTTTAAAAGGGAAAGGTGGACGAACAGGTGTGCCTAGGTGCTTCTAAACCTTACCCATGAAATGGCCTAGTGCATAAACAAATTTTGAGCACTAAAATTTATGAATTTACATAAAGGGGTAGAATATAAAAGTTGGGTTTTATCTAAATACCAATCCTCATTTTTTCATAGTATTTCGGGTTTCCCTTATTTTTCCCAGTCTTTTATATTTGCTCAAATAACCCTGGTATCGTATTTCATTTACTGAATTGTAGGTAAGATTTTATTTTATTTTTTATTTTTTAAACATTAACACAAGCTTTCCATTAAACATAAAACCAGATGGCAAGATGTGATGTACAATAAGAGGATAAAATCAAGAAGTAGGTAAGAAGTTTTGGCACTTCCATTCCTTTCCCTATGGACATGAATAAAAGATACTTCCTTCCCACATAAGCTTTTATCTATTCGGTCCCACGTAAGCTTTTATTCATTGCCAAGCTTTTATTCATTGCCAAGGGGTAGAGGCGGGTTCCTGCACCAGTTGATAACATTAAGAGAATCTCCTTCAATGACGATCTTCTTAAAAGAGTCGTTAAGTTTACTGGTTCCATGGTAGAGAGGCCAAAACTCGGCCTCATTTGCAGAACTTGGTGGCAATGTCCCATGAAAGGACCATATCATGTTACCAGAACAATCCTGGAGCAGGCCCCCATAGCTAGCAAACCTCCCCTTGTCCTTGACACTGCCATCAAAGTTAAGTTTGAAGCCTGGAGATGGGGGGAAAGCACCTGCTGTCCTTCGCAAATTTCTTTTTCTTCAAGGTCAAGAGCATATGAAAGTTGGAATCGAAAAACTCTTTCGAGATGTGCTTGAAGGATACGTGTGCTTGGGCCCATTTTTAAAGAATAAAGGCGACAATGAGGTCAAACTGTCTAGCCTTTCTTTCCAAGCATCGAGCGTTTCTCTAGGCATCACACAATGGCAATTACTTTTGAGTAGAAGCCAGGCTCAAATTTATTTCAGTAAAGGGCAGTGTAGAAAGAGGTGATCCACTTACTCACTATCCTGCTTACAAAATATGCAGACATTGACAATTGGAATCCCCCCTAATCCAAAGTTGATCCATGGTGAGGATACGACCCCCAACTAACCAGCCACAGAAACGCTCTCACCCTGAAAGGGGCTTTGCAGGACCACACCTTCATGGAAGAGTTGTTAGCAGGAATGAATCTGTCCAACCACAGGATATTGTAGAGGGATTTAATTGTGAAAACACCTCCAGCTCCTAAATGACCTTGTCATCCTTGCAATGCGAGAGGCACAGATAATAAAACCTAGACATAAGTTGAAGATATTGTTGTTCCCTTCTTGAAGAGAGGATCAAATTTCAAGTGATATTCTCCGCTTATCTTTCTGATACGCCGCTAATGAGAAGGTTTTTAGGGATGCATTTAAGAAACAAGTCAGGGTACTAGGATTTTAAAGGGTTATCACCTAGCCACTTAGCATGCCAGAACTGGGTTTTTGAACCATTGCCGACTAGAACTCGACAGTAGGCCGAGAACAAGTGTCTAATGGAAGATATCCGTTTTCCAAACCGCACAAGCAAACCAATTTCTTGGTAGCGTATTTGCTATGTCTTTGCCAAAGCTGGTGTGGTACTTCAATTAGTGAGCCAACTCAAAGGATGCAAAAATGCAATCTGGTATTTGTAGTACCGGATTGGCTTGGGGCCAAATAGTCCGGTATTAGAAGTGCCGGACCAACATTAATATAATGGCAGTTCCGGCATTTCATGTGCGGGACAGAGGCCCCTTTATAAGTGTCTAATAGAAGATAACCCTTTCCAAACCGCATAAGCAAACCTATTTCTTGGTAGCGTATTTGCTATGTCTTTGCCAAAGCTGGTGTGCTACTTCAAGTAGTGAGCCAACTCAAAGGATGGAAAAATGCAATCTGGTATTTGTAGTACCAGATTGGCTTGGGGCCAAATAGTCTGGTATTAGAAGTGCCGGACCAACATTAATATAATGGCAGTTCCGGCATTTCATGTGCGGGACAGAAGTCCCTTTATAATAAAAAATAAAAAACTGATAAAGGACCCTCTCATAAAATATGAAAAATATGGATTATTAAAGGGATTTATACGTTAATTCCCCAATAAATAAATACACGAAGAGTGCATGCATGGAATGGAGAAATTTTCACTAAAAAGAAAATTTTATAGCAAGGGAGAAATCATTATCTCGAGATAACTAACACTTTTTATTTTTATTTTTAATGTTGAGATTACTAACACAGAAAAAACGAAAATTAGAGAGAGAAACTCATAAAACACAAAATTTAGACAGAGATATAAACAACGAAATTAAGAGAGAAAGGGACAGAAAACAAATTTTAGAGAGAGATAGAGCATGGGACAAAAAATCTAGACCTAGAATGAGAGAGAAAGAGGGATTTAGAATCCAAAAAATAGTTACACATAGAAAACGAAATTGAGAGAGAGAGAGAGAAAGGAGGGATTTAGACTTTAATCGAGGTTAGGGGCCACCGACCAAGAGAGAAAGGAGGAATTTAGAATTTAATCGTGGTTTATATCCACAAATGAACCCATAAATGGAGTGAAAGGGAAAGTATCTCGTAAAGTGTTAAAAAACTTGTAAATCAATCATCTCCTCCAATCATGAATTGGGTAGAAAAATAATGCTTTAAAAACAGTTCCATCTTACAACATTTTTTTTCACTCTCTCTTAAAGTTTTAGAGGTCCACATATCTATACATTTTGAGCATTTCACAAAAGGAATTTAACATTGAGATAAACTATTTAAAGACGTGTTTACAAAAGGAATTTAAAAACGAATTTAGAAAAGTAAAATTATCAAAATACTCATGTGAGATGAACTATTTAACCATATTGTTTGATTTAATTTGAAAATGTATCCATAAAAAACACATTGAGTTGGAATAGTACCAAATGTATAAAATGATAAAAGAATGCATCTCTCGTGGTATTTTGATAAATTTACCATTTACAAATCATTGCAGTTTTTTCCGGTGCTAGGTCGGGTTTTCTGTTGGGGTTCTGAAATGTAGACCTATCAAAAACTTTAAACATGTGATCTTACCAAAACTTTATTAGTAACTTAAAAGGGTACGGTTTATATTTATATACAATGTGACAACATTAATTTTAGAATGAAGGTCGTGGTGTTGTGCACAATTTATTTTAGCGGGATGATGTAGATTTAATATATTTGTTAAATAAATTTAAATTTTAATAATATTTTAACGAGTCAAATATATACCGTCCAACTAAAATCATCATCATCATCCAAGCTTTATCTGAATTATTTGGGATCGGCTACATAAATCGTATTTCTATATTCTTCTCCACATGTTCAAGATTCATAATAAGATACAACAAAGTTTTATGTTGATTGTCTACTTAATGCATCACACTTTTTTTACTCGGGATTGAAACGGACTAAAAAAAAAAAGCTTAAAGTCCTCATCCACCAACTGCCCAACTAAAATACTAAAACTAATGATGTAAATCACATCATCCTTCTTATCACTAATACAATTACAACCTTATATGATCCTTACCCAAACATAAAAAATCAAATTATGGCCCAAAATGATTAATTTTAGCCCACATATGTTTCATTCAGGCAAATCACAATAGAGCAAATAAGAATGGTCGGTGAAAAAGACTTATAAAAACATAATAATAACCAGGTGAAAAAGACAGATAAAATATAATAATCACAGGTGAAATAAGTCAATGTAAAGTTTGTGTGTAGGTCCCCCATATAACCAAAAGTTGATTCGGGTTAAAACTTCCATTACTTCTCACGCGCTCTGAAAAGGAAACGACGATCTCATTGAAAACCCTAAAAATTGTGGGGGCCCCGTGAAAAATTGGAACCTTGGAGATTATTTGCCCTTTTTCATGGTGCTATTGAGATTATTATGGGCAATACGAAATCAACGCTACGATCATAAGCTGTAATTGAATCGGTGAGTGGTGCATTTAAAATCGGTTGACTATTAATTAAATTGGTTTGATTAATTTTTAAAATATTAAAAATATAAATAATTATTTGAAATATGTATTGTATTAAAAAAAATGCTCACTTTGTTTAGACGGTTGAACCCGTGGAAACCAGGCGACCGGACTAGCAAAAATCGATAAAAAATCGGTTTTTTTACAAAATTTAGATTTTATTTTAGACTAGACTAGCTAAAACATTGATAAATAGCTCAACTGGTTGGACCACCTGTCCGGTTTGATATTGATAATTATGTACGAGTGTTATCAATACAAGATAACTTTACAAAGCTTTTCTTGTGGTTTGATAAAAAAAAGGCATACTATTTATCGCTTTACACATATTTTTTGATTTAATTTCAAAATACCAATAAAAGCATAAGAATAGTTGTAAATGAATAAAATACTAAATAGCACCACTCTTATTGATATTTTGATAATTTTCCCTCATATTTAATAATTCCTAAGAGAGCCTCTCTTAGAGGTAGTATAAGGATCATTACCAAAACAGTAAATGGGAGTAGTGTGCTTATAGCATGCTCTTGCGGGATCACACTGCACACGATATTTCTTAGGAAAAAGACTTAGAAATTAATTTTTTCAATTAAATCGTTTCGATCCACATTAAGGGAGGGCAGTAGATTAGTAGTTTCTAGGAAAAAAACAACTTTTTATTTCCTAAACATCTTAAAATTAGATTATTTTTGTCCAATCTTAGTATGTTATGTTCTATGGGAATATTTAGCTTGTTTACAGTTTTTTTAGTTGGTCTCTCAATACAGGAGGTTATATCCCCAAATTTCATATTCTTAAAATATTCCTAAATAGAGTTTTACCCAAGAGAGTGAATATATGATATGCTCCTAGTAGAAGGGCAAGGGACAATCACAGGTTACCATGTCAATGTACCATAGAGAGAGAGGTTACCATGAGTGGTAAAATTGTTGAGGGGAACTATGCAAATATTATAGCTTCGGGCAAGGGGAAGATAGGTTCCCATGAAGGTTAACATTATTATTTATATAGATTAGAGAGCTATTACTATTTCAATTTGTTGTGATGCACCACATTTTCAGAGAATCCAACACCGAGGCAGATTCTCTTGCCAAGAGTGGTGTTCACTGTGACTCGTTGGTGATCACTAACTTTGTCTAATTATGTCTTTTTTTTTTCTTCTTCTCCTTTTGTCCTATTTCTTGGAAGTTAATAAAATGTTCATTCTAGATAGAGAGAGAGAGGGCTTCTAAAAATGCTTTCTTTCCCACTAGTGACTGAAGATTAACCAAAAGGTTTTATACTACTGTAGGAGTATACCGTTCACTTATTCTTTTAGGATTCTAAATTTTGGGGATGTAACTTCTTCAACTCATAGATTAATATTAGTAAAACTAAAAATAAAAATAATGAATTGAACTCTTTACATACTATAAAAATATAGTGTTTCAAGATTGAACATAGACTCTGTAATTTTTAAAGGGCTAGATCTAAGTGTCAAAAAATTTAAAATAATTTTTTGAAAATAATCATCCAGTGATTTTTAGGGGTTCTTAGAATTGCAGATTGAAAAAATATTTTCAAGAAACTCTTTTGACTAAGGGAGTATATGTGTGCCTTAAACTATCAAGTATACCTGCTTGATTATCTTTACATAGGCTCTCGGCCTTATATAATCAAAGCAAGGTGCACCAAATTCTATTGATAGATGAATTTAGGTGCCAAAAAATTCTTATGCTGGTATAAAAATCTATTTCGTCACTATTATTAAATTTGCTGTAAAATCATTGTTGATCAAGCAGATCCATCAACGCTTTAAAATCATGAAAATGGATAGTCCAAATAATGTATTTGGAAGCTATTTTTCTTTATATCCATACATCTTGAGTGTGAGATGATCAATTTGAAGGTTATTTTGTGTTGTAACAACTTTTATCGATGGGTTTTTAAGGTGCACCTTACTTGTATATTGTAAGATTGATGCTTTATATAAATTTTTTTCTTTTGTAGAAAGAGAAAGTTCATATAAGATATCAACCTTATATTATTGAACTTGTAAAAAAATCCTTTAAAAAAGATTGCTCCCTAAAAAATCCTCTAATTGATTATCCCGAAGTCGAGATATATGAATGCAAAAAAACAAGAATCTCAAAGTCCTCGAAATAATGCATTTTCAAACAAATTATTTGAATAGTTTATTGTCAAGATTTCTGATGTCTATAGATATAACCAATCTGTACAATTTTTGAAATGGAATAAAGACGGATTTTCAAGTCATCCTATTCATCAACCTTTTCTGTAAGTTTGAATAATGGCCTAAAAATGGTTGGAAATGTAACTTTCAAATAAGACAAAAGTGCTATCCAGGAAATCACTAAAATGAGATTGTCCTTGAGGAAATATAAATGACCAGTGAGTAATTTTGTTATCGGTGGGATTTATAAGGCCGCTGCCCTAAGCCATCAAAGTAAGATGCACCTTTAAATAGTATCGAAAGATATTGTTGCAATACTAAAAATCGTTGTGATAGCTTGAAAATTTATTTTCATCTCTAATTATAAAATATAAAACTTAAAAAATTACTATACATCAAATAGATCTATTAATACATGAAAATCTTAAAAATTGACAGCCAAACAATGCATCACAAGATGTGCTATTTTCAGAATTTAAAATCTATTTTTTGTCTTGTCCATACTTCTTAAGGTTGAGATGATCGATTTGAGGAATTTTGAGAATTGAAACAAACACTTGTTGACTTTAGCTCACCGGGACCTCTTTCCTCCTGCCTTTTCTACTCAGTCGTAGGGGTCCAGACCCAACAAAAAGGGGTGGAGTCGACTGAACATCTCAACCATTGGGGAGAAATTTCACCCGCATCCTGTCCCCAATTCTTGTTCACCCAATTCATGCTCGTTTTGTAGACTTGGCCAGTACTTACTTTTGGGCTAATGGGTCATACTTTGGCCAAGTATCCTACAAAGGGACTCCCGAGAGCCAGAAGTATGGCTATAGGAATGTGCGCACCATGACATCGTAAGATGTCTCGTCAGAATGAATTACCGGGTACTAGTATTCGCAAAACTGGGCGATCTAACTATTAACCGCCCGAATAAATTGGTTTAAGTTTTGAACGGTTTTGGTGATCAGCCGGTACTTAAAAAAAAAAAAATGTATATAAATTTCCAAAAATAAAAAATTTGTTTTGTAATGCATTTTTTAATATTTTTTACATTATAGTAAATATTAAGAAATTTTTTTGATTATTAATACTCACTTTTATATTTTCTAATATTTATTAAAAAATAAAAAATATCCTTAGGCACAAATCGATTCGTTGAAATCTATTTTTTTCATGAATTTTCAAATTCATTTGAATGTGATTTGTTTTAAGCATTTTTTATATGTTTTTCATATTTTAATATATTCATTTTTGTATCTTTTTCTATTTTTTTCAACATTTTTTTAACCACCCGACTAAAGCGGTTGATTCAGCTAGTTTATTGATTAGGTCTGTTAAACCGCTTCGAATCCATATCAGATTAGTTGTTCCGGTTCTATTTTACAACCACCTCTTGGTACTGAAACGTTATAAAAAACTGAACGAAAAGAGTCATAAGAAGTGTCCTCTTCTGATGAATTTTTAAGGTACGCCTTTGATTGTTTAGGTACGTGCCCTTATATAAACTTATTCCTTTAATCATGGACAGAAAAAAACATTTATTTTTTTTGGGTTTTCAATGGAATCTAAGGGTATTATAGGAAGTTTTATTCAATAGAATCCACGCCCGACCAGCATACGACAAAGTGTGGTTAATCTGCTTCACTGGACCAGCAAAAACAACCCCAACAAACCTGCAACAATCAATGATTTCAATTGCGGATATACAATTCACATTCTTTTTAGCAATGATGCATTGGGGACTGGCTCAGAGACTGCAAGCCCTGGTACAAAGATCACTGGGTACTGTATAAAGGTGGGTATATTCACTCGTGGCTAATTCGAGAGAGAGGACAAAACCCAGGTTTTTTCTTGTAAGGAATCTGAAGTGGGCTTGGGTTTCATGTTATTTTCCTTTGTTTGGGTATCAGAAGCTGCATAGTTCTCAGATATCTAGGAGATTGCGGTTTTCCTTCCTCTTCACAGAGTTACAGTTGATCTTTTGTAAGAGAATTTGGTATTTATTACATTGACTTTGTTGACCTGCATTTGAAGAAGTATCAACCTTTTTTTTCCTTAATAGGGGCAAAACCCAGTTTATTTTATTTTATTTTATTTTATTTTGTTTTTTTGTTTCTCTCTTGGGTCATCAATAGATTGGGGTAAAAGCCATGGATGGAAGAGATTTCAGTGAAAATGAACTAGATTTTGTTGTTTCTCTGTTGGGTTACTGATAGATTGTGGTAAAAACCATGGACTGAAGAGATTTAAGTGAAAATCAGTGCCTGGGCTAAACTTGATTTTGATATAATGGTGCCTAATTCCATTGTAGCTTGATTCCTGGCTTACCCACCCCAAAAAATAAATAAAAAAAAATAAAAATAAAAATTTGTGTCAGATTTCTTCTCTATTTGGTTGCAATGCATTGTTTTGTTTCCCTGCTTGATTTTGGACAATTCTACCATGAATTGGTGTAGCAGCATTCTGGATTGAGCAGTACAAAGGTTGAGGCTTTTCGAGTGAGAAACGATAGATTTGAAAGTTTAGTTAGAGAAGATCAGCTTAGTCTCCTAAGGAAAGGAATCAGGATGGCAGAGAAGCCCCAGGTAGATGTGCATTATATGAATGCAGGACCTCGTGGTGTGATTGAAGACAATTTTGGTTCTTTATTTGGAAGCGACAACCATATTCACATTGATCTGGCTCTTTCTGAGATTCTCCAAAATCAGGTTGGCCATGAATATCTTTTTGTAGAGTTATCCCATTCTATAATAAAATTTATAAATTTTTGGATGATCTCAAGTAAATTTATGCGACTTTTATATAACTTATCTAAAATTCAAGGAAATATGTCTAGATGGTCTGTGTATTCATGTTTGATACTTTGAAAACATGTATGATAAAAAAAAACAGTCAAGTTAGCTGGAAATATGATAGAAGTTACATGGCTTTTCCCCACTGTCCAAATTCACAGTAATTTTTATTTTGACAGAACTTTTCATTAAAGTGAATTGTTTCGTCCTCGTAAATGGCCGCTTTGGGGATGACTACTCTTGATTATATTTTGCTTACCCATAAGAATAGGAAGATTTATTTGTATTTTGTCATTGAGTTTTAGTTTGTTTCTGGTCTTGCACAACGTTGACGTTGGAAAGTGATATTTTCTATTAATGCCAATTCGTTACGATTTAGAAATTATTCCCTTCGTTTGTCGGTTCCATAATAATTTGGCTTGTTAGAAGTGGATACTGATGAAGCTTTGTCATTTCAATAGTATGCTTGTATCACATTCAATTACATGGGAGAGTCTATGTATCTTTTTCTTTTTTAGTAGTCTTAAATTCTATGTTCAGCATTATGCCTTGCTTGTTGTGATTTTTCTTTCTCTTTTTATATAATTATTTACATGGGAGAGTTCACATTTTTTTTAAGTATTTCTAGACTCTGTGTGAGACTTCAACCTGCTCATGCGGTTTCTATTGTTTGGGAGAGTTTAGATCATTCTTGTTGTTCAGCAGTCTTAGGTTCTATGCTTAGAGGTTAGCCTTAGCCTGTTCTGCATGATTTTTATTGTATGGGAGAGTCTACATCATTTTTTGTTTTAGCATTCTCAGATTCTATGCTTACAGATAAGCCTTAAAAGAAGTAGTGATTTTGTACAGGAAGTATTGATTCAAACGAGTTCTAGGAATAATGAGAATGTCGCTTCTATGAGTAATGGTGCTCATCCCAACCCTGACCAGAGTAGTGGTGGGAGCAGAAGTTCAGAGGACAAAGATTTGCAGGTCAAAAATGATGAGCTTCAGTTAGCGATTGATGAAGCATTGGCTAGGTCTTTGCTGGAGTTGGAGTTGGAGGATCAACTTATTGACACTTCCTTGAATGAGACTGTTGGAACTCATTTAGGTAACAATGTATTTTTTATAGTTATATATGCCACAACATGACATCCTGAGTTCTATTCCTACCATGGGTAGGGGACCCGTTTAATCTACCCAAAAATAAGATGCACTATGTTATGTCTTGGGAAATTTGAATGTGCCAATGTTTCAGTATGTACAATATACTTTTCTATTACTCATAAAAGTATTTTAGATTCTTGTTCATTATTGTATGCTTATTCTGCAATTCCATTGATAGGATTTTGTATTGGGTCATTTACCTCCCTTGTGAAAATTCAGATTTTTCCTCAGTTTCTACTTATTGTCATGTTAAGTGATCCTCTCTGACACTTAATCTGCATTATGGATGGTTGATTCACTTATGGAGTTTTAGGGCTCCCTGTCACTATCTCCATAAGACCACAGAGGTTCGAAAATCAGATTTATCTTTTTGAAGTTGTAGATTATCTTTTACTTCTAATGAGTCCCTTCATCTCTTGGATTCTTTTCTCCAAACCTTTGTCCTTTCTTTCACATGAATCTTTTTTTTATTTTCATTCATATTTATCTTTTGTCTACTTTTTCACATGGTAAGGAATTTCCTCCATTTGCTCTTGTTGTAACTTAGTTAACATTTATGTGGGTTTTTGTTCCACTCCTATCCTCCAAATGCCCTTTACAACACCCTTTTTTTTCTACAAGGATTGAACCGATGTTATGAAATTCTCTTCGCTTCGGGTGAAGGGGCCGAAGCCTTCAGATTTTAGGCATAAACCGAAATGAAGCGAAGCATGGTGCTGCTGCTTCGGTCAGATTCGGAAGCGGGCTGCTTCGGTCAAATCCGGGTCTGCTTCTGATATGCTTCGGGTTTGCTTCGGTCAGCAAAGAAATAGCTATATAAAAGTTATTTTTTTTATTTTTATTTTTTAATATTTTTATTTTAAATTTTTTTCATTATTTGTATATATTTTATATATAAATATCTAGTTTATTTATATTAAATTTTAAAAAAAAGTCCAAAGTCTTCCCCTGAATTGGCCGAAGCATCGAATTTCATCATTTTTCTCACCAAACCGAAGAAGACTCCGAAGCAAATTTGACATTGGATTGAACTAAATCAAATTATTTTTTTGAAATTAAATTGTTCAAATTACTCTTAGAAAGCATAATCCCTAAATAATTATCTTTTCCAAGGTTTCATAAATCGCCGATCCGAATCAGAATCTCCTAATTCGGATTGGATTCAGTAAGGCGGATCCATTTACCAAGATACCTCTCGGTTCCCCCCAGCTGCCAATTCTATTAGTGAATTGGGCCGGTTTGGTTGGTGAACCGGCCTACCAATCCCATGTATATTTTAAATATTTTTTTAAAACTTTAAACTATTTTTCTTTTTAAATTTGATATCTTTTCTATTTAAGGATTGGTGATGTGGGCCCAACCTCCTTTTATATTTTGTCTTTTTTTTAATTTCATAAATTATGTTTTATAACTTCAAGGCCTCCATTTAATAGGGATGGCCCTCACTCCTCATTGAGGTGCTATTCACCCATGTGCTCTTGAGCTCACAATCCCCCATTGCCCTCACCTCACCCCCTTTTATAGCACTAGCCCCCCCACCCTTTCGCAATAGCTGATCTGGGACTAATATACATGACACAAACTTTCTCTCTCTTAGAGCTTGAGTGAGAATACCTCTATTATCTACAATTGATTATCGATATTGCTTGTAGCTTATTGGAAAATACGTTGCAAAAAGTTATGTACAAGTACAATAAAAAATATACTTCATGTTTTGGTTAAATTGCCTAATATTACTAAAATAGTATACTAAGGTGAAAAGAATAAGGCCTAAGGCTTTTCTGTAACTTTTAGAGTGGGCATTTCTACTACTTATTGCGTAGCCACCCAATTGGAAGCGTTGGGTATATTTCTTTCTTATTGCATCAGGCCAATAAGAGAGAGAGAGAGAGAGAGAGAGAGAGAGAGAGAGAGAGAGAGAGAGACGACGAGAGAGAGAGTGTGTGTGTATATAAGTAGTATAATAAATAAGTATATAAGTAAGTAAAAGAAAGAAGAGTAGTAGTAGTACGTAAGTATATAGTAGTACGTTACTAC